GATGTCGTCGAGCCCAATGTCCTTGACGCGCTTTCGAAGCGCCCTGACAGACTCAGCATTTGGTTCCACGCCGTAAATCTTGGCGATAGCACTGCTGGCCATTCTCTTTCGCACACCTGACGCCCCCTCACCCCTGAATGTGTCATTGGTGGCATTGCCGCTTGTGTTAATTTTGCAGAAAACATCTGCCCACATGCCGGACCCCGCACCGATTTCAATCACCTTCCCTGACACTGGGAGCCCGACGACATGGTCGTGTGCCTCGCCATCTTTGACTCTGCCCTCCAAAAGGGGGATTACTCGAACTTCCGCATGGGCTTTGACCATGGGCCCAGCAGTGGCCCAGAAATGCCCAAATAGCGCATCACAAAAGGCCGAGGGGACAAAGAGACCCCGCCAGTCACGATTACGAATCAGGGTTCGAATTGTCAGGGGGATGTGGCTGGCAGAGATGGCCATGAAAACCCATGGGTGAGTAAGGGTGCTGAAGAGCTGCTGGATGGTCTCCAGTGTCGTCGTCATTGTGATATTCTTGCGGCCCTTCTCGGCCAAATGTCAGTAGCAATTTTTAATGGGAAAAAGGGATGGATAGGTAATTGTGTGGAAGTGACAGTCAAGGGGGGGTAGCTGATCAAGATTCCAAGCGGCCTTGTTACATGCGTCTAACAGATAAGACCTAACTTGTTAGATGAATAATCCTCCGCCGCTGAATAGAATAATTGTCCGCGTGCGGGGCCGTTCCGGGGCCGGACTCACGGTCTGCGCCAATGCCTTCATATTTACACCTTGAGTTTTAGCCCATAGGAGGCCTGTATTGGTTTCTAGTAAACATCAAATATCCTAAACCCTTCTTCTTGACCTGCCCATCAGGAATCAGAGAACTTCTTGACAAAGTTGACGATCTTCTCATAATAGTCTACGGCTTTAGGATGAGCAGGAAACATGAAAAAGCAGTGTGGCAGCCCGGGATAGACGTGAACCTCTGCGTCAACACCCTCATTTTGGAGTCTCTCTGCATACGCAAGACCCTCATCCCTAAATATATCATAGCCGCCCACTATAATCACTACATGTACAAATAACAATTAGCGCCTGGGCGGAGCCAGCGAGAGGAGAACTTACGAGCCGGGGGCAAGCCTCTGAGAGACGGAGCCAGAAGAGGCGAAAGTTTCCAGTCATCAGTTGGATCTGGCATGTACTGATCCAAGAACCATTCCATGCGCAGTGGATTGACCAAGCTAGCATTTGCATTCTGTTGGTAGCTTAGGAGCTCATACTTGTCTTTAGGAAAGAATTTTGGGTGGCAGGTAACAGGAAATGTCAAGACTTGGCCAACAATGCCAGTGACACCCTCATCTCGTGCCATGATAGCGACAACACTGGCCTTCATATTTCGCAGTTTAGATTAGCCTCGTTCTGGATCTTTTATTCCCAGCTATTAGAAGTGCAGGTAGGACGTACAATATTTGCTCCAGCGCTTCCGCCATTAACCAGTATCTTCTCTGGGTTCACTCCCAATAAATCGGCGTTAGATGTTGACTGTTTGGTGGTTTCAGCATATACTCAGACAATCAAACACAAGGCGAAGTATCCATATCGAATCAAAAGGTAAGCTCACCCATTTCAGAGCGTCAAGGCAGTCATTAGTAGCGTAGGGAAACTTGAACTCTGGTGCCCTGAGATAATTTAGATGTATAAACACTTCCTTGGTCTTAAAAGGTTAAAAAATCTAAAACATAAATACTCACATTCGGTAGCCGACGCTCACTACCACCGAGTTTGTCCTTGCTGCTAGAACCAAATTCTCGGGGTGTTCTGTGCAGTGACCTCCAACCACCCATCCTCCACCGTGGAACCGCATCACCAGCGCTGAACCTGGCTTCTTTTGCTTGGCACGATAAATCTTAACTTCAATCTGGGTCCCATCTCTCGCAGGGATCTGTTTGGTTTCAGTGACAACATCTTCGCCCTCCTTGGGCCAGTCAGGAGGCGACGCTGAGTTACTAGTCCAGAAGCCGCGAAAGGTTTCGAGAGAATGGGCCGGATCCCAGATTTGGTCAACGAACGCATCGATATCTGGTTTCAATTTGAGGAAATCGGCGTCGATCTCACTAAGATGCCCATTTTTAAGCCCAGGTTTGAAGTTGGGATCCAATGGCGCATATTCGGGCTTGTCCTTGGTGACCACCATCTTGGTTGTTAGCTGAGAGTCTGTTGTATTACGTTGAAACTACCAAACCGTAACCTGAGCATAAACCCTTATGACGCCTAATCTATGGATATATGTACTTTCGGAAGAACTGGCCCTGGATCATCAAATCCGAGGACTCTATTCATTTTCCAATGGGATATCGCTACTGATTCATCCGCCTGCGATCCAAGAACTGCCTGTTCGGCTAACCTTCTCCGCATTGTAGAGGGGTGCTCTTGTACCGCGCCTGGACGAGGAATCAATCGAATTACCCAAATGCGATGAAAATGAGCAAAGGTCAGTATTGCTTCTCTGTCATGTTTCCCATATCGAGGATGGTGACGGTGGTCAGATATTGAGCAAGGTGTGGCACTTTCTGGTAATTGGTAGGTAGGTTGGATGCCAACTTGTGAGCTAGTCTATATGCCCTTGAATCCCATCTTTAATGTTTTGGCCGTTACTCCAAACTCCTAAAATTTAACTCTTTGAATGCCCTTGGTGAGTCGAAATGATTTTTAGTTCAAGTGCCATGTCGTGATATTGTATACGGATAGCAGCCCCCCCAAGCTTGGAACTTGCTGCGTGTGCGCAAGCAATACCGCATGGTGCGACATTCTTTCGAAATAGCCCGGCAGACATCATTTAACCGACTGGTCTAGATGATTCTGCTGGGTACATGTCATTTCCCCCAGATCCGAGGTGTGCCAAGACGGCGATGTTTTCCTCAATCCGTTGTTGATTGCGCCGAAATTCCAACTCGCACAGTCTCCTAATCGATCTCACAGCAGCTCAAAGTCGTCGAGCTGATCTCTGTACTTCATAATGTTCCTCTTGATCTTGCTTCCCACTGACCAGGTGACGAAATCCTCCGTCGTTCGCGTGACCAGGTATGCAGGATCTGTGACCGTCTCAGTTCCAACTCGCACATGGCCTTGCTCGACCATCTTGGTCGCCGCCTGTACCGTCTCTGCCATCCGCAGTCTCGTCATGACCACGGGTAACCGCCGGCGGGCAAAGGCACTGACTGTTGCGCCGTGTTCCACAGCGCTGAGCTTTGATGCTGACGAGAGGATTCCCATGTCGTATAGTTTGTTTAGGAGGAGCTCCTCGTGCTTTCGGCGGACCGCATTGTCTGGGGGCAGAAGAGAGAGTCGGTGGGCAAGTTGTCGCAGAGACTGTGAATGTTAGATACCAATGGAATGCAGTCTGGTTCGAGGACAAACTTACGCCGCAGATGCGATTATATTTAGCATAATCCTCCGGCTTCTGGATCATATACCGTCTAATTACGGCCTTATCACGATGGTCGCCATCTTGCTTGTACGAGATAAAGTCGACTTTTCGCAGGAGCTTCTGCTCGTGATGCTTGAGTTTCCTGACCATGGTGAAAGCGCAACAGCTTCTCCTGGCTTAAAGATTGATTATATCGTTGAAGTAGTCGCGTTATGTACGGATTTGCCCAAGGAGAGGTGTGCGCGACAAAAAGTTCCTTAGTTGCGGCAATCAGTAGATATGCAGGAATAGTTGGTGATGCTGTCGAGACCCCAGATTCAAGAAAAAAATTAGGTGGGGCGAGTGGACGGGTTATTCCGAGTTTGGGTGGCGTCAAAAAACCTCCAAATCCAGCTTCAGGTTATCACCACTGGAGTCAGCTCACGAGGCAACAATTTGCACCTCAATCCGCCCGCCATGCCTCCCCGACTATCGATCCTGAGCGCCCTCCGCGCCTCAGTGGAATCGATCAATTCTCGAGCATTTTCTTCCACCGCCGCTGTCGCCTTGCCCCCTCGTGAGGCCCCATCCGCTCACCCACATCATCCCACCAGCTCACAACAGCCCTCGTCGACTAGCAGTCTGCTGTCTCTCAACCGCCCCAATCGTCGAGTCGGCCCCAAAGATCGAGGAGCCGGTGTCAGTGTCGCTGAAAAGATGATGCTCCGGGCCAAGGAACGCGCCGAGGCCGATCTCTTGGCCCAGCAAGCCAACCAAGATCTGCGACGGGAGGAGCAGCTTTCCAAGGCATATCTGAGGGAGATGCCACGGTTTTGGAAGGTTGGAGATGTCTACTCGCCCCACGACCTGAGCCCTGTAGAGATGCAGAAGTGGCGTCGTAGGGCAGAACGTCGCGGTGATATTATCGATGCACTGGGCATCAACCCTCTCGACATGTACAAGGTAGGGCATACTTCTCATCCTCTTTCCATTGCCTGGAGAAGTACGTTATTAACATATAAACAGAACTTTTCTGCAATTGCCGAGTTCACGAGATCCTCAGGCCAGATCATGCATTCCAGACAGACAGGCCTCCGACCGGTCAACCAGCGTAAGCTCGCCAAGATGATCCGCCGGGCACAGGGAATGGGCATCTACCCCAGCATTCACAATCACCCTGAAATGATCAGGGACCAATTCTATCCCCCGGGCCTATAATGGCGATAAGGGAGCAATCTACGTATTGAATGATTTGTACAATAGCACTTTCAGCCTCTCTGGTATATGTTACAGCGTCTTCTATGTACCTTAGACGCGATGACATCTTCCATCTACTATGTATACACTTTTGTACAGAAATTTAGGCTTTCAAGACCCTATTTAATCTGAATTGGCACAATCCATTTTCTGTCATCCGACGTCCCTTCTTTTTTAACTCCGCCCATTGTTGGTGATATTTTGTTTCGGCCCATTCCTGGAATTCTGCTTGCAACTCCTGTCCCGGCAACGCGTTATAGGTGACGCCCAGTCTGCGCATATCGAGTCAGTATCCGGAGTCTTCAGATAAAGGGAGGGGAAGTTTTGGAATCAGGAGAACTCACACCACGGCATCCGGATCCGACCCAGTGACAGAAGCCATTTTCATGATCAGACCCTGGGCCTCTTTCTCATGGCCATTACCAGCAATCGCACCGATGTAGGCCATATATACCGAGGGAGGGACCTCCAGATCCATCAATTCGATTTTATCCCATATTTGGCGAGCTTGTTTGTCGCCGTTTGACTTCTTTTCTAGAGTCCAAAATACTGCTTGTAGTGACTCGTACGAAGGTCCTTCTGCCGACTGTGTAATCTCGTGCCAAAAGTCTAGAGCCTTCAAAGAGCGACCACAGCTTGCATGTGCTAGCATGAGAGCTGTATATAATCTGGTATTTGGCTGTACCCTTGTGTCCATCTTGAGCATGTTATGTATCATCTCTGTTCCTTCACGGTCGGGATGTTTGGCAAAGCCTTCAAAGCATTGCACATATGTATCTAAGGTAGGTTGGTATGCCCGATTCCGATGTTGGCGCATATGCCCAAACACGTAGGTTGCCATGTCGGGTCGCTTGCGGTCGAAGAAATTCTGGAGAAGCTGGGCCCGGCGCTCAAAGCTCAGGTCTTGGAAGAATTGACTAAGAAGTTGATAGGCGCCCCAAGCACGCGAAGTACTAGTATTGCGGTCGAGGCAGAAAGAAACAAAAGAGGCCTGGACAACCTCTCGCTGGGCCTCGCTGTATAAGAAGGCGTGTACAGAGAGAATATCCATGACGTCGAAATTCTGCTCGTTTTCTAGAAACCTCAGGCAAAGCGAGGCAACAGTGGCGGGTTCAAGATGTATGCGCTCGTCTTCCACGGCTGTCAGGAGCTCAAGGATATGACCAAAATCAGAGGGCTGTTGACGACAAAGCAAGACAAGATACTCATTCATGATGCTAAAATACTCCAGCCAAACATCGTTGGGCGCGCTGGCACTGATTGACCCAGCTTCTTGAAGTCTCTGAAATGCAACTTTGGCATCTGCAAGAGAGCCAGACGAGATGTACAGAGATAGGAGAACGAGATAAGTCTCTTCGTTAGGCCGAATACCCTGCTCTTCAGATAACTCAAAAATAGATTTAGCCAGGGTCAGGTCAATCATTTCCGTGGCGGCTCGAAGGAGCGAGTTGAATGTTTCGATATCCGGGGTCAATGGGCCATCGAGGCTAAGCATGTGAGACATTATTGGTTTAATCTCGCCCAGAGTCATGCCTGCCAGGAGCATTGCTCGGAGCAGAGCATCCCAATATTTCTTTTCTGGATGCTCCTGTCCAAGCTCAAGGAGAAGCGGCTTTACCCATTCCTGGAGGTTATTCCTTGTTGCAAAACTAGCCACCGCTTGATAAGACTTGACGGTTTTGCGACCCTTTGACAGAGGTTTTGTAAACCATTTTTGGGTTTCGGGGATACGGTTTCTCTTAGCAAAGAAATCAACAATGGCTTCTTGCATGCCGTTGGCGTATGCGTAGCCATTGCTATCAGCAAACTCAATGAGCTTTACGAGTTGATCTTCATTCCCCTCCCTTGCAAGTCCCCTAGCAACTGATGGGACCACACTTTTCGCCCCAGTTGTATATTGAGAGTAAGAGGGCGTGTCCCATTTCGCATACAACTCTTGGAGAGCCTCATTTGCTCCCCCAAAACGACTCATCGAAATCAGAAGGTAGCTCCAATACCTTGGCTCTTCTGAAGGCTTTCTCAAGGATTTGACCGAAGCGGTATAGAGGACTTTGGCGAGTTTGAGATGTTCTTCACTTCGTTCCATAGGTTCGATCTCGAGCAGAACCTTTCCCGCTAGCAGCAGGTCCGAGGATGAGAGGCGTTTTTCTTCGGATCGATCAGGCGCTGAAAGGTATTCTAGTAATCGGCGGCATTGCATCGCCTGTGTGGTATTGAAGGGTATCTTGTTTTTAATCTTGGAATGCAGAAAACTCTTCCAAGCAACAATTAACTCCTCCCGTGGCTGCGGCCGTAAATTGTCGAGCATTCGGCTTCTCCAAACCATAATTTGCATCCATCCTGGCTCATATTGGGGCTGTCGGATCTCGCGCGGAGGCTTCTTGAACAGAACGTCGAGGAAGGTTCGTCGAAACTGGTTCCTCCTTATGAGGGATTCGGGTGAAAATCGACGGCGAGGAAGGGAGCCGGCCGCATAGGCAGCGCAGGAAGGCGCGATGGCGGCGCGACTGACAACTAAGTGTCGGGCATGTCGGGCGAGGTTAGCCCTCATGGTGAGTAGGAAAAAAGGGTTATGAAACCATGCACACGTAAATCATGGTGAAAATATTGTCGTAGGTGTCCAATTGCCTTGATTTTGCCCTCGAATGGCCTAGGGACGCATCGTTATAGCTCCCTGGAGTCCGGATTCAAGACCATGTAGCTTGTCAAAGCTCGATATAGAAATCTGGATATCTTAATTGGTTCTTCTTGCCGCGCTGGGTGAAGAAGTACTAGGGTGGTATTTCGGCCGTAGTTTCGCCGACGTATTCGATGCCGCATCGTTCACTTGAGTACTTGTCTAAGCAGCGCTGCGAACATGGACCTGCCTATCAATAATTTCATATAGAGAAGTCTTTTTGGCTAGCAGGATTATAAGGGAGTATTCAAATTATCTCCATTATATAGGGATGTTGCTGATGAGAGTGTATAGGCTCAATGTCGAAACTGGTGCAGCAAGCACTTTAGCTCTAGTACACCTTGATGAGTGTCACAGATCTGACAACTCCAGACCATTAAGTAATAACAAAATAAATATCCCAGGACCGAAATAAGCACTCAGTCAAAATCTGTTTTATGTGGATATCAAGTAACTCAATTGGGTTATTGCGTGCGTCTTCATGTTGCCATATTTCAGCTCAAGCTCACAAGCTCGCACGTCATTCGACCTGTGAGTCCTCGCCGTAGACAATTACCCCACCTCAGCATTCAGAACAACCTTTCAACCCACCATGAGAGAGCCACGCTGATGCGCCGGCTTCGGATCTCGATTGAGGAGATATCTCCGCTAAAACCGTAAGTTTGGATATAAGAAGAGACAGCCTCTGGCCTTTGATCCCATCGAACTTCTGAAGCCCCCAACTCCCTGGTCCCACTAGCCATCGCCAACATGCCCCTCATTGTCAAAGCCCCCACCAACCGCATCATCCTTGGGCTCATGACCTTCGGGCCATCTGAGCAGGATGGTGCACGTATTACTGACATCAACACATTCAAGAATGCTCTTGATGTATTCCAGGCGCGGGGCTACAATGAGGTCGACACAGCCAGAGTCTATGTGGGGCGAAAGCAGGAGGCTTTCACCCGTGAGGCTGGGTGGAAGGAGAGAGGCCTAACTCTGGCTACCAAGGTCCAATACCCTAGTAACCCTGGGGACAATACTGCAGACAAGGTCTTGGAGTCCGCCGATATAAGCTTGAAGGAGCTTGGGACAGATGTCGTAGATGTAAGTCTTGCTTCACCTCATTTACGATAGGAGAGCTAATAATTCCCTGTTAGATCTTGTATCTACACCGCGCAGACCGTGCGGTCCCATTCGCTGAGACACTGGAAGCAATCAACAAACTTCATCAGGCCGGGAAGTTTGTGCGCTTTGGAATCAGCAACTTCACAGCATTTGAAGTGGCCGAGATCGTCCTGACCTGCAAATACAACGGTTGGGTGCGCCCTACAGTCTACCAAGGCATGTACAATGCCATCACCCGCAACCTCGAGCCAGAGCTTATCGTTGCATGCCGCCGGTACGGTTTGGACATCGTGGTCTATAATCCCCTCGCAGGTGGCCTCTTTTCCGGAAAGATCAAGTCCAAGGATTTGATTCCAGAGAGTGGGCGATTCTCTGATGTTAGCACTAACCAAGGGTCCGCGTATCGCAAGCGATACTTCCATGAGAGCACGTTCAAATCTCTCCAATTGATCGAGCAGGCGACAGAGAAGCATGGACTCACTCTGATCGAGACTGCCTTGCGATGGGTAGTGCATCACTCGGCGTTGAAGATCAAGGATGGAAACGATGGCATTCTCATTGGTGTTTCGAGCGTTGCACAGCTCGAGAATAACCTCGATAACTTTGAGAAAGGTCCTCTACCTGACGACGTGGTCCAGGCTCTGGATGAAGCTTGGAAGATTTCCAAGCCCGACTCGACCCCCTACTGGCACGGGGACGTCGTTTACACCTATGACACCCAGAAGGCACTCTTCGGCTAGTCAGATACCCTAGATAGCTTTGAACATCAGGTTCCTCACAAGCCAAAGCACACGCATGACCACTGCCATTAGCTACCAGAAGCACCACGCGGAGGGTGTCAGGCCCCTGGAATGGACGTAATGACCAAGACGGTGGGGGCATAGATCCCCGTCTTTTTGGCGGCAGGGTACTCCCTAATCATCCCTCTCGGTAATGTAGTATCCACCCAGTGTACCAATCGACCTCTAACCCCATCCGCACGTGTGGGTGTGCCCCTTGTAAAGGCAATCGACATCACTGTGCAGGACCGTCCAATCCGCGCTACCCCGTTATCTTCAATTCCCATCATTCCTTTCCCGGTCAGAGGATGGTCTTCTTAAACCGTCCTCCATCATTGCAACTGAAACCATAGCGGCATTCTCTTCAGCACGGCACGTCCCCAGCATATCGCATATTCTTTCTCTCGCTCATCAATTTCCGATTCTCGTCCCATACCTCCCTACGGCGCCGTCGCATGCGTCGAACAGGAGAGCAAACTTCAAGCAATCTACATGGCACACAGTCCACGATCAACTCCCTGAGAAACCGATACGATCCTGAATAGTTCTTGGCTCACTACAGAACTATTAAGATGTCCTCCGAATCCCGCTGGGCGGGTTATGACGGCCGGTCTGGCTTACCTCTATTGCGCAAAAGCGAGGATGATGAATTGGATGGTACCGGCCATTCCAACCTCTCGGGTCGATTGAACGATACGTTACACTCTTCGGGCCACGGCGATAACGAGTTGGATCACGAACATCCCCTCCAGAATTCCACGTCAAACTTCTCGCATGGTTCGGGGATGCACAGTCGCAGCCCACAGCAGGCGGCTGCTGCGGCTGAGCGCGCAGCCAAGACCAAATACACATACGCCGCTTTTTTCCTCGTCGTCAGCCTCATCACATTCTGCGTCCAGACCGAGCTCAGTGCACACATCCAACATGACCGCGGGTGGTCGAAGGCATATTGCATGATGTACCTGACACACGGGTTTTGGGTCTTTCTTTGGCCTTCAATGCTCCTAGTCCTGCGGTTCAAAGCCAGGGACGTGCCCTGGTCGGTCTTTTTCAGGAGACATCTCCTCCACCTGAAGACGACCATAATGATGATCGAGACCCAGACATTAGATGTCCATCGCTCCGCTTCACGGCACAACCCCAACCCCCTTCGTTACATTATTCGCTTCACTGCCATTATCACATCTGCTTTGACTGTAGCTGGTCTCAGTTGGTACATTGCAGTTAGCTTGACCACGCCCTCCGATTTGACTGCCATCTATAATTGCTCTGCCTTCTTCGCCTACGTTTTTTCTGTGCCCCTACTTCATGAACCGCTACGCCTAGATAAATCCGTCGCCGTTCTCATCGCAATTGCAGGAGTGCTTGTTGTGGCCTATGGAGATAGCAAAGGGACCGAGGCCGAAACTGGAGCTGGCAGCCGTTTTCTCGGAAACATTATAATCGGCGTTGGCTCTGTGCTATATGGGTTGTACGAGGTGCTTTACAAACGATTTGCCTGCCCACCCGAGGGTACATCGCCAGGCCGAGGTGTCACTTTTGCTCTCACATTTGGCTCCCTGATTGGCCTTTTCACCTTGACGGTGCTCTGGATTCCCTTGCCAATTCTACACTGGCTGAATATTGAGAAATTCGAGATCCCAGACGCTTCTACTTGCTGGCTCATCCTGCTGGCTATACTTGCCAACGGCATCTTTAGCGGGAGTTTTTTGGTCCTCATTTCGCTGACATCTCCTGTGCTATCATCTGTCGCCGCACTATTGACTATCTTCTTGGTAGCATTGGTCGATTGGCTTATCACCGGTAAACCTCTTAGTTGGGCTGCGATCATCGGAGGTGCTATGATCATTGTCGCCTTCCTAGCTCTAAGTTGGAGCACATATCGTGAGATGAAAGAACATGAGGCGCAGAAACTTGCGGTAGATCTGGCGGACAGCGATGTCGATGAGGCGTCGGACTCGACTCCCGATGAAGCATAGAAATTTTCTATTATTTGGGGGCTCTACATTTCCTACATTTTGGATCATGCTGGTGTTTACTTGACGGGCAAAGTTCGAACATTGCATTTACTATACAAGGATTTTATCTCCTAATCTGGATTCCTCTGCATGAACAGGAGTAACGGAATTATAAACGGATCTATCACTTCCGGAGTCGAAGTGCAGCATCTGGCTGGGTTGAGGTAACATGAATAAAATTGGGCTCATCTACTGTACATATTTAGGTCACTGCATAGAGTATTGTTATTCATTCCATCCCTGCACCAGATCAAGTGACATAGGGGGGCCGCAGAGCTGAATTTGGCGTTCTGCGCTTTGCAAGCTGCCGACGGACAAGCCACTGCCTGGACGGGATGCCTCTGGGTTGAGAAGGTGGTACGGGTTCAGCTTATGCCGCTACCCGGAGGTACGTCGCGGATAGAACGAATCGTCGGTAAAATTCTTACTATACGCTATGTACACGCCGTCAACGGTCTCTAACGTAGAGGCATGCAGGCGCTCTGTTCTAACGTCCGCCATCCGGGATGTGTTGAACGGTTGGGCTCGGATAGGTCTAGGCCGGGAAGAAGCAAAAAGAGAACATGACCGGCGGTCAAGGTTCCACGAAGCTGCAAGCAAAAGAAAGGAAACCGGTATGCAGCCAATCTACGTCGTGGTCGGGCCTCCTTTTCACTCAGCCCTAATGCAGGTATGTTCCTTCTGGTTGGGATGCAGAAGGATAGCTGCATCGCGCCACTGTTTTGCGGCGAGGATGAACAGGCTGCGGGCGCTATGTTGAGAGAACCGTGCAAAATGTTCACTTTGGAGGCCAACCACCTGCTATTAATGTAGGTAGGAACGGCTGTGTTTTGCGTGCTGTAGGCAGACAGAGGGGCCGCCCGGAGGTTTTGAAAATGACTTGTCACACCTCCAGGTACCTCCCAGCACGTACGGCTGGCTCCCGTGCATCTAAGCTTGATAGGCAGGCACCCAGACCGAGAAAAACGTTTACCAGCGTCAAGCGTTGGGTGGGCTGTCCGCCAGCCATCCAGAGCCTCGTTTCGTGGTCCGTTCCGACCACTTGTGTTGGCAAACGCACGCGGCAGGTTCACTTGTTGATAAACGTCACGGTTACTGCGCGGTCCAACGCACGTCTCGCTTTTGCCCTCTGTTCTTTCCTCCTAGTCCCTACATAAACCGCGTGCCTGTCTGCTCCTTCTTCCTCACTTGCTCCCTTCCCACATATCCTTTCCCCATCCTCAACCCCCAGGCGGATACCTGTGCTCTTCATCCAACAACACGCTTCATTTTCTAGATTTCTATTAAAACCTTGACGTTTTCAACAACGCCCAGGGCGTTCACTTTGAAACCAACATGCCTGGCAGGACTGCCTCCCCCGAGCCAACTCACGATATCATGAGCAAGGAGGAGGAAACTACTCTTGAACAAATAAGAGAGCGTCGCCACCAACTCATCCAGCCACTTTGGGAGAAATATGAACAGGGCCACTACAACGTCATCCCTGATGACCAGCCGGAATCAACAATTGAGCTCATCAAATCGTCAGATCTCCGAGTTGAGCGCCGTGGAGATTTATCTAAAGGGCAGCTTTCGTCCATTCATGTTGCTCACAACGGTGCCAAGGACTTTCCTGGCGTGAACTTCATTGGCTTCGAGCCCACACAACAGTGCCTGGCATTCAGAGGCGAAGCAAGACATTTGGACTCGTTTATAGACTTCTCCAACGCAATGGTCAAAGGAGAGCGAGTCCAGTTCGTCTTCAAGGCACCCGCTGCAGCCGTCATCCCCAAGGCTGGGTTCAGAAAAAATCTCGACTACGACGAGTTCGCCGGCCAAGTCGAAATTGTCGAATATGCTATGTGGCTTAGGCCACCCAGCCCTGAAGACGAGGCATCCTCATGTCAGTTTGCCCCCATCTGCCGGACGCATTTATTTATTTCCCTTGTTAACTTTTTAGTAGATCCTCCGGATGACTTGGTTATGTTGAGCCCAGACGAAGATGACTTGTTTGAACACACTGAACCAGCCTCGAGCGCTGCGACTGGTGACGAGCAAGGAAACACACTGCCCATGGATGTCGACGACCAGAGCCCAGAGCCTCTCGTTCCAAATTCCAAAAGATACTCCACAGATAGTACTCTATCCGATATCCCCGAGGAACAGGAAGAGATCTCTTTTGATGACCCTCAGCAAGGCAACGCTGTCAACATCGCGGATCAAGATGATGAAATGATGGATGGGAATGCACTCCAGGTCGGAGCTTGCACAGACTGCGATGCTAAAGAAGCTGATAAGTTAGCTTCACAACTCGAGGCCGATGCAGCTTTGGCCGCATCCCTCTCGCAGTCACTTACAAATACTACTCGTTATACTTTGCGCAAACGGAGCAATACCCAGGCACCTGAGGAGGCTGTCAATCCGACAAAGAGCAGCGGTAGCAAAACTGCTGAAGCCAGCAAAGAAAACGGGAAAACTTTCCGAGCTACTAGCACAGCTAAACAGCCGGCAAAAAAGACAAACAAGAAGGCCAGCACTGGTCAACAAACGAGGAAGAAGCCGCGACATCAGTAACTACCTGCTGAAAGCATCTACGAATGATGTTTAGATCTCCCAAACCGGTCCATGATACTAAGAAGAGAAATGTTTTGTTTGTTGAAGAAAGGAAAATCTTGTTCGGTGCTAAGGATGTTGATCTCGAAGCCACGAGATGAATATTGAGATTGGTAAAAGCTCCAATGAGAGTGGGGTTAACATTAATGAGGAACAAATTGATGAATGGACGATACCACTGCAGCTATGATTAAATGAAAAACACTGAGCTTTGATCATGGGAATTCCCTGTTTCCTATCACGAGTACAGGGTCGAGGTGGCCAGGTTAAGCCTGCACCAACCGTCCGTGGTCTGGACCACATAAAATGCCATCCCGAAGGTCTGGACCGCTTGTGCATTGCTATCTGGTTCCAGAACTTGGAAGATTCGCCTCTTTCATCCTTGCACAACACCGTTTTGATCTCCTATTCGCGTCTCTCTGAACTCTTCGGGGTCATCACGGCAGATTTTTATTGCGGTTAGAAATCGGTTGCCAATACGCGCAGGTTAGGTGAGGCTGAATAGATTAGTAGTAAGATCGAGATCGGGCATCAGAGTGAGGCGGCGCTGGTGGAGGGGCTCTACTAGCAAAATGATCGTCAGCCCAGTGCTTTATTACCCTTGCTGTATTATTATATATGACGCAATGGGGTAGGTGGAAAATGCCCGCCCAGTTCGTCGTTTATCTGTCAGTTCTGTTCGATTGTTTTTACTTTTATTTTCGTCCCAACGAGAGCGCCTGCTCCGTAAGACTGCAGGTGGGACCCCGCGCTCACCAGCGACTCAAGCCGAGACAGCCATAGTTACAGGCACAGCCTCCCGCCCCTCTTCACCCTCCCAAGCGTCGAGCTTGAGGCTCTTCACGACGCCTCGCGCTCCAGCCCCTTCTTGCGCGCTGATTATTCTAGGTCTTGTTGGTTCGAGTACGATACACAGCACCTGTCTAGGTAGCGACTTTCCTGCCAACACTGCAAACGTCCCACCTGCTGCCCCCGAAACCGAAGCCATCGCACCTTCCAATAATCCATGGCCAACGCTTCCGCAGCAGGTGGCATTGAACCCGCCCAGCTGGGATTTCTGGCCATCTTCAATCCCTCTCTCGGCAGCACGGACGAGACCATCGATGACCAGATTGTATACTATTCCTCCGTGAGCACCCAATCGGGCTCTCTCAGGAAGAAGAGGAGACGAAGACGGAGCCGACCAACGGAAGGCATCTCCCAAGCTGAGCGCCATGAGCGTCTGCGGCAGATTGGCCTTGCTCAGGGCATGGCCAGCTTCAGTCGCGGGTTCGCAGACGGTGCCGCAGTCGATACCATTGATACGGAAAGGTCAAGGGTCGTTCTCCACGAGCTGGAACCTGGATGGTGGATTCTTGTGGTTCGTTGATTTATTTATCTTTCATGTTCTGATGGAGGCATTTGATACACAGTTGATTCTAACAGTTTGCACTTAGAGCGTCGACCTCACGAAAGTCCCACTACCACCAAGGCTTCCTACTAAGAGCAGTGAAGCGCAAGAAGAGCAATTCGAATACTCGAGCCGCGAGATGAAACCCTCAACTCTGCTTCTCGGAGACCTTCTACGTGCTCACAACATATTCCTCATGCACCATGGATCCTCTTTGAGTGCCCTTTTCGTCCGTTCCAAGAGGTCCAAATTCGTTGCCCTTCTCGGTCGATATTGGGACCTCTACGTCTCGACTTGGAATGTGATGCTGCACGGTAACCCTGCTCGCGAGGTTTTTGGTGGGATCAACCTGGCCGCTTCGGGCGAGCTCGGCGTTGGTGTTGGTGAAGAGGAGCGCGGGAGCGGTGAGCGCGAAGTCTTGGAGGGGCTTGTTGGGAGAATCGAAGGACTCGTCGATCTGGTTGTATCCAAGTTTGGCGAGCATGAGCCTGAGGAGGATGCTCCTGAGACGTCTAATGGCCAGTCCCAATGGCTCGGAACTGGAAAGGAGCCCAGTTGCGAGGATGGTGCCATTTTTCTCGGGCTGGGAGCGTTGTCCAAAAAGTCCCTGCGTGATGTCACCCACTGGATGGAAGACCTATATACTTGGGGTGAGCATGCTTATGGCGTGATTGACAGCCCAACTTCGACGCGGCGAAATAGACATAGAACGGCTTCGAAGAAGATTGAGGAGGATCCACAGCAACTTCTCACAGGGGTGGCAGAACCTTCAACCTCAGAGGTACAGGAGGAGCCCTCTGAAGCCATACAGCCAGATGGCGAGATTTCATCTGAGCTCGCAAAACAGCCAGCAGCCAGTGACCAAGATGGGAAATTCAACAAGATGGCGAGTTATTTCAAAATGGGGTATGGCACGTACTGGAGCATACCCGGTACGGGCACGGTAAGCGATACTTCGACAGGCTCGTCACAAGTCAAAGGACCCGATGACACTCCAAAGCAAGCGGATAACCCGACCGAACCTCGCCCTAAGCCCCCAGTTCGCTCACCATCAGTCGAAGCTGCAGGCCATTACTTGATTGGATTGATGGGCGAAATCGAGGAAGGGGCCAGTGACCTCGATGAGAACCAACACTCAGACAACAACTCGGAAACAGAACACAATTCCCGGACTGTCCTTAGAACACTCCACGTGGAGCTCGAAAGCGAGGCTGAGGGTCGCCCAGAGTCCATGATTGTCAAAGACTTTGAGCATCCAGCTAGCATCTGGACGCAATCGCAGGTCATGGGCAACATGGTTCCAGGCTACAACTCACACGATTTAAACAAAGCAAAAAAGTTACGTGTAGTTGTCTACGTGAATCGCCCTTTCATCTTCACGTTCCTCTTCGAGCTGCGAACAGACTCCCTGGCATGGGACGCCCTCTACCGTTCGCTTCACTACCAGCTCGCGCCGCTGAAGAAGCCGTTATTGTCCTCCACGAGCTACCGCCCAGAGCAACCTAGCACAGGCTCATCCGTATCGAATATATTCAACTTGGTATGGGATCCGAAGGCGATCACCTTCTCCTCCACCATTCCCAACATACCAGAGATGTATCAGACGGAGAACTCCTGGTCCCGTGCCGATGCACTGAGTACTCACTTCCATATCCTCCAAATCCATAACGCCACACGCGCCCATCCCAACGACCTTGAGAGAACTCAGAAGACTAGCCGTGGATGGTGGATTGTGTGGACGAGACTTCTTCATCGAAGGGAAGAAACCGCCGGCAGTAATCTTCCCACCATCCAGGAGTCCTCCGCGCCTTCCTCGTCCGCCGCTTCCGTGATTGTATCTGAAAATGATGCGTCGCAAAGCTATGGTACAGAGGATGAGAATGTTGCAGCAACCGTTGACAAGGAGATATTCCTTATCCGTCAAGCCAGCGACCATAAGGGGTTTCAGGACAGGGCGGGTGAGGGAGCGGGGAAGCTGGCTCAAGGGATTGGCGTCGATACGCGACGCTACGTGGAGGAGCTATTGAGCTTGCTCTGATTTCTCTTCTTTTGTTACTCATTCAAATTTAGTCATTGCGACGGAGTCGACGATATTTCGGAGGTGCTTTTAGACAACCCATGCATGTTCTATACCATCACGCACCTATTAGGGAGCGAGAAGTCGTCGACGGATTCCTCTAGGCATCTAGATTCACAACTTCTGATGTTTGCAATTTGAGTCAATGTGTAAGAATAAATAATATTACTGTTCGTTTTTCTGTCTAATCAAGTCCAGTCCACTTGCTCTGAAGCAGGCCAGGATCATACTCCTTCTATTCCAAAGTGAATAAATATACAAGAAGGTACTTGCTGCCGAAAAAATATATGGTTGGGGCAAGAGATGCTATATATTCTGCAAGGGTATCCAACTTTCCTCTTCCCCAGAATAACTCATACCAAGGCCACCCAGGGTGAACGTTAAAGAAAATACACAAATCTTAGGTCATGAAACTAGCCAGGCTGACTAGGAAACGAAAGGTTTTCGAAAAAGACAACCGATCTGAGTAGCCCCTTTACTCGTTGACGGACCATGTAACCTGGCCACGGCCAACATCCTTGGAGGGGAAAAGCGACAGGAAAAGACCTTCGGAAAGGTCGATGGACCCCTCGGTACACTCGGGGCACTTGTCGCCAATGATTCCAGTTGCCGTCTTGGTCACACCCTTGTACACAGCTGTAATGGTGATGGACTTGCCACAGGCATCCGGGTGCTTCTCATAATAAGCAGCGGCAGCCGCGACAACGTTCGCCGACATATCCTGTCCACCATAGTTGGTACCGCAAGAGCCAAGGCCAAGGGTGAAGAAGGTAGCGTCACCGCTCAGTGTCGCGCCTGAGTTGCCACCACCAGGGGCGGAGGCGGAGGAGGTGGGTGCCGCGGCCTGGGAGGTGGTGGTGGGAATGATAGGAGCGATGGTAGTGGTAGGAATCTCGATGACGATGCTGCTGGTGGTTGGGATAGGGGCAACGTAGGTCGAGGAGGAGGGGATGACGACGATCGAGCTGGATGAGGTGCTGCTTGTCGAAGTGGTGGAGGTTGTAGAGGTAGTAGTGGGAATAGAGGTGGTGCTAGGAGGAGCAGAGGAGCTTGGGCTCGAGGTCGAGGAGGAGACTTCGAAGAACTTGGCGTCGGTGGTGGGCTGGACGGCGGGAGCAACGGTCTCTCGGGCTCCGTCCTGAGCAACGAGAATGGTGGCCGTCACCTCGACGACTGTAGTTTCGATGACGGTGACCTGACGCTTGTGAAGGTGGCCGTGTCCGTGGGGCTTGGCCATGGCAGCGCCAGCAAGGAGACCGAGAGCAATGGCGGACTTCATCTTGACTATTGTGATCTTTTGGTGTACAAAGACAGGTATATCCGGTAAGGAGTGACGAAGAGAATTAATTCTGATATTAATAGTATGCTTGACCGTGTCTCTCAAAGAATGGAAGAGATGTTGAAAGCAATACCAACGAAGTAAGCGGATGTAACGAGGGAATCGTCTTTTACAACTCAATGGATGATCTGGAAAGCTCGGCAGTCCTAGATAAAGGGGGGGAGGGTCGGTATTTGTGAGTCCCAGCCCATTTTGATATAGATACATCAATACATTGCTCATAACACCCAAGTGACGGTGGTCGTATAATGGATATTAGTCTGGGGGAGCCACCCAGTCCGCTCGGGATCGTCTGTCTGGGTCCCCCTGTGCATTGAGTCGGCATCATTGGCCGCATTCCAAGCTGTCCCCTGCAGCTGGGTCAGGTACCAGCCAATTGACAGCCGTCTCGTTCCTGGACCGGGGCTGGGATAGCCAGTGGCATCAGTCCAAAACCCCCTGCGTGGGCGTGGGCCCATGGAGGCCGGTCCACAAGTTTTGCAGGCCATCGACGGGAACACACAGTAGCATGAATGAGTTTTTTCCCTCGCCAGGGGAGCCCTTCCATCCCCCCTAATTTCCAAGGAGGCAGTGCCCTATTCGAGGTGTTAACGCACAGGGATCGGCGCAGCAGGCAGAGCAAACGGGGGCGGAAGGCCATGTGCTGAAAGCTGTTGGTTCGTGTGAACCAGATTCTCGGGCTTCTGAGACAGACGACAGAGCTCCGCCGTGGCGACGATGAGACTGACTACGTAACGCAGGCAAGCTAACGCAGGTGTTGATTCTCTTCCCAAGACACCAGAGGGGATGGATGGTGACCGCCACAGCTGAAGTGCCCGTGTGTGCGTGTCTGCCAGGGGCAAGCAGCCTCCAGCACCCGTCCTTCCGGTCAGCACGGGCATCAAGGAGGGTAATTACATGCCAAATTAGTGCTTTCCATGGCAAGGTGTGTGGGAGTCCATCTCCAATCTGGAAGAGGTGGGTGCCGGGCCTGACTGACGGGCTAGACGGAATGCAGACACTTTTGGAATTGGCCGTCGCCACGCAATGCCACCGCTAATGGCGAGAGACGGACGGGGCGGTCTCAGAGGCCGGCCACCTGCCAGCACACCAGCCAGGCTTTTTGCGCTTTGACATCCAACCATGTCATTGTTTATATTGCGCTGGAGAGCTCATCTTGTGCCGGGCGAATCCCGAGTTGCAGGCTGGATCATCTGGACAGCTGGGTTGCACCACTGGGCAGACACCACGTTCAGGTTCATTTCAGCAGGTTCCAATCTGCAGCCACACGCGGAGCGGCCCAGAGGCCTGCTGCAGACCTAAACTTAAGATGGAGTGATAGGTACGGCTTACTATAGTGCTGGGTCGCCCAAATGGTGATTCGGTGAGGACGTTGAGCCAGTGTAGATGCGTGTGTAGACACTGTCGTGTCGTGGATGTAATTACTGGGTACGCAGCACCACCAATGCACCTATCCTTGCTGCTTTCTGCTCTTAGTTCGGTTCTTCGGTTGTACCTACATACGCTGGTGGCTTACGATGGAGGGGAGGCACTACATTGGGACGTAAACACGAGGCGAGAGCAGGCAGGGTTCCATCACGTCTCATTTCCACTGTTATGCCTAGCTTAGTCCCTCTTTCACGCTGGAAGTACCTATAGCAGGAGCAGCTCTACTGTGTTTGCTCTTGAAGGATAACAGAAATAACCCCTGCCGCTGAAAGACGGGACGGTCCTCGTCGAAGAGCTCCTCGACGCGGAAGGCCTTCTTGGCCATCTTGACAAAGTTCATGTCCGCCCGCCTCCTCTTCTTGAAGCAGAAGTACACGGTCGCGTCGGCGTTGAGCGCGAACAGGTCCTTGAGGGTCTGCATGAGCAGAGGGAAGGCGGGCTCAAAGTAAACACACTCGGCGGCGATGATTACGTCTGGCTTCTGCTCCACCACTTCCTGGGGCAACGGCTCTCCCCTACTCGCGCGTTTTGTTAGTCAAGGGACCTGGTACGTAAGGTGGCAGATCGTCGGTCTGGCAAATAATGAATAATAATGTGAAACGCACCAGTTGAGAATGAGCGCCGAGGCCTGGCTTTGGACCTCATTTCGCTCGATATTAAGCTTCATCAGCTCCAGCATCTCGAGCTGGTCTGTGATGAGCATCTTGGCGTGCACCCCACAGCCGAGCAGCACGCCAAGCCCAACCAGCCCGATCCCTGAGCCCAGTTCCAATCTAGGCAAGGTGAAGAGGGCCAGGGTTAGCTGTCTGTCGGTCGCAAGAACAATAATGCGTGATGGGCCGAATGGTTGGTCTGTACTGTATTACTCACATCCGTGCATCTTGAAGCTCTGCCCGGTGATACCGCAACAGGTGCTTGCCCAGGAGCATTCCCGCCGGCCACGTCTGGCCACCGCAGCCCGTCCGAACATCCTCGTGGAGCTTTAATGGGGTGGTGAGCTGGCCGTCGAAGTCGACCGTGGTGTTCCCCTTGGTCTTGAGGCTGGGGAGCGGTGCGAGGTCCTCGCTGACCACTACCGGGTCCAGCGGAGGAGACGACTCTGGGCTGTCAAAGGCTGGCATGCTGTGATGGATAGATGAGGGGATGTGAAACTGGCTGCGTGTGAGAGTGAGACGGACGGGGCTTTCAGTCACGGCACAGAGCAGGAGAATTGAGTATCGGGAGCTGGTTTTAGGTTTGGCGGGAGTTGTGGGAAGTGTTGGCCGAATTTCGGACCTTTGCTTCCTCTCGTGATGCCTTACCTGTGCCTGCCCTTGCTTGGGGGGAAGTGGTCTACGAACCAACGCTCGCTTCTATGGCCCTGCTTCGCTTCACACTGGGTTTTGGACAGAAAAGACCGCTTGTTGGCAGGTAGAGAGTCCATAGGCTGGTTCTAGACTTTGATCCTATCTGTCGTGCTTGTCAGGGACACAAGTGGTCTAGCCTCTGATAACGATTACCCACTCTCTTCTCGCCTCTTCCCTCTCTTCTGGTCGGGCTTTCGCTCACAGCCCAAGTGACTTAATTCTTATGCAGCAGAGGACGGGTCTCTGTGCTGCTTATTCACCAAACCACGATCTGAAACCAGCCAATGGCAGCCAGCGCAGCAACGGAGTCATTCATCACCACCGCCCAGCTGTTGGTGAGTGTGCACCTCGCAGTGGCATCCTGCGTCTCCCTGTGCTGTGTCCATGTCTCAGATTCTCACCCTCACTCTGGTCCCTACTAAATAGGGTGGCTCCCCCTCTCCAGATTGCCAGACGTTCACAGGAATGCAGCTGCGACATCCCCCAGCCTCTACCCGCCTTCCCTTCAATCAATTGCCCTCAGTCCGCCAGCATCGGGCGCCTTAAGCCGACCCTCATGGCCATCATGGCGGACTCAACCAAGACATTTCGCCCCTCGCCAGTATGGTGCGAGCTGCTTGCCGTCAGCTTGCTCATGAGGAGGGGGGCTTTCGTCCTTGGATATGGGCAATAGCTCTCCCACCCAGGAATGAAGGGATCCATATCGCTGAGGATCTCCGGCCATCAGAACGAACGATGCGCATGGATTCCCTTGGGGTGCCTCTGTCCCCATCATGCCATGTCGTGCCGTCCATTTGCTCTTTTCGTAGACTCTGCTGCTCTCGCATCTGTTCTTGTTCCATCTGTTCTTGTTCGTGCTTAGATTTTGAATGGCATCAAACGAGGCTCTGATTTCAAGGATTCAGCGCCTCTAAGCGCCTTTGTCTGTAAACCACCATGGCTTCTCCTATGATCTGGCTCTACTTCCTCCAGCTACTGCAACTCGTCTCCTGCGTCCCCGTCATCTCGTTTCCGTTCAACGCACAACTACCGCCCGTGGCGAGAATTGGACGCCTATATTCATATTCCTTCTCCTCGTACACATTTCAGTCCGACACGGATATCACGTATCAACTACGAAACGGTCCTAAGTGGCTTTCGCTAGATGGAAAGGCCCGCAGACTCTTTGGACTACCGACTGATAAAGATGTGCCTCCTACCCAGGGAAACGTGGCCGGGCAGACGTTCCAGATCATCGCAACGGATGCAACTGGATCGAGGACCATGGATGGGACTATCGTGGTATCGAGAGAAGCTGGGCCTGAGATCAAGATCCCCGTGTCTGAACAAATCAAGCGGTTCGGCTCCTACTCTGCGCCATCCTCGATCCTCTCTTACCCTTCTGCGGACTTTTCATTCTCCTTCGACACGAACACTTTCGCACACCCATCCAACGGCATCAACTATTATGCGTCTTCGGGGAACAGCAGCCCTCTGCCTGCTTGGGTGAAGTTCGATGCGAGCACTCTGAGCTTCTCGGGACGCACGCCGACTTCTGAGGCGCTCTACCAGCCTCCGCAGAAATTTGATATACGGCTTATTGCGTCTGACGTTGCTGGGTTCTCGTCGACCTCTGTTGATTTCTCCATTGTAGTAGGCACCCACAAGCTCACGGCCGAGTCTCCAGTCATCACACTCAATGCAAGCCGAGGGACTTCGTTCAAGTATGGCGGGCTGGCCAATTCTATCAAGCTTGACGGCAAGCGAGCGTCGTCAAAGGATCTCGCCACGACCGTGGCAGCACTACCAGGCTGGCTGAAGTTCGACGCGGAGACCTGGGTCATCGAGGGCATGCCCCAGAAGGGCGATCGTTCAACCAACTTCACAGTCAAGTTCACGGATCCCTTCTCGGATACGCTCGAGGTGCTTGTCATGGCGAATGTGGCCACCGGGCTGTTCGAGAAGACGCTGGATGAGATCGAGGCCACGCCCGGGGAGCACTTCAGCCTGGATGTCGGTCCTTATCTCAGGGATCCCAAGGACATCGAGCTGAAGATTGTCACCAAGCCTGGCCAGGATTGGCTGAAGCTAGACGGGCTGGAAATCACCGGCGATGTGCCAAATTCGGCAGTTGACAACTTAGATATTCGCATCGAGGCTACCTCACGCAGCTCCAACGTTATGGAATCGGAACTGTTCCAACTTAGTTTCCGGCCGGTTGACGGGAGTACCAAGACACTTCCCTCTGCCACTTCGACCGCCTCCCCTACGGAGAGCCCGGAAAAAACAGGCGATGATGCTGATGAAGATGAGGACGAGTCAGATGGCCATGGCCTTGCGACAGGCACGCTTCTCTTGGCAACCATCCTCCCGATCTTGGCCGTTTCTTTTATTGTCATGCTCCTTGTGTACCTGATGAAGAGACGTCGGATGAGCAAGTCCAAGGCATCTCGTAAGGATTTCCGCGACAAGATATCGAAGCCAATCGTGGGAAGTCTTCGAATTACCGGGTCGGGGGAAGGCGAGGAGGCATTTAGGAACGTTGCGGCTTCGAATAACCAGGCATCACAAGCGGAGAAAGGTGTCATGAGACACGATGGCTCTCAAGTATCATCTCGCTCCTCACGCACCCTAGGTAGCATCTCTTCCAGCCGAGGACTGGGGCCTCAGAACACAGGATATGCACCCCTTCGTGATGGCAGTTCCGACGACGACCGACGATCGTGGTTCACTGTCGAGCCGGTAACGACAGGAAGACGAAGTGAGGGAGCTCACTCAGATACTACGGGGCCCAGGTCAACTCACCAGCTACTCCCTACGCCGCCCTTCCTTTCATATGCAGGCGAAGGTGCCTTCCATCATGGCCTGGAGTTTGCGATCCCTTCACTCAGCGAGCTTCCAAACCTGCAGCTCGACCCGGAGGTGGTCAGCAACCACCCAGAGAAGCCACGCTCAACGGCAATATACTCAACCATCACATCCAGCTCGGCTGCGCTGCCGTCCTCACGTCTCAACAGCCCTGAAGTCGGGTCGGGCTTTGCCCCTACTATACCTTCTCCAGCTATTACTCCCGCTCCCACTTCCGTTCCCAGTATCCCACCTACTGGCCCTAACTCTGTTTCTTCTCCTCCTCCTCCTGTTCCCGCTCGTTCTCGTGCTCGAACGTTGTCATCCGGAGGTTCGGTGAGGAGAAACTACAGACAGTCCCGTACATCGTCAGACAGGGACTGGACAACCATTGCCGATAGTGACGCCGGCGGTGTTCCAGATTTACCGCCGCCGATGCCCAGTCACCAATGGGCCAGCCGCCACGGGACGGACATGAGCCTGCCACGGCCCGAGTCATCCAAGAGGGCCAAGAGCTTCATAACGGAAACGTCCTTCGGGTCTGCTGAGAACTGGAGGGTCATTGGGCGGTACGACCGGAACGCACCGCCTCAGCTTCCCCCACCCGTCCAGGGACTTGGGCACAGACGCTCGTCTCCGAGTCTGAGCACATCAGGTACGGGGGCAGCGAGGCTGGCAGACCTGGCCACCGCAGCCATCCCGATCCCACCGGAGCCTAAATCACGTCCGGCAAGCTCGAGGCCTGTGTCTAGGAGCCGGTACTCGAAGCTGAATGAGGACGAGGAGAAGGCCAAGGAAGTCCCCGCGTCAACCTCGGCCGCGGGTTGGAGGAGGGAAGATTCGGAGAAAGCATCCAAGGGGAGTTTCGCAGCGTTCATTTGATGCCCGGCCATACACTAGCTACTGACCTTTTTCCTCTATGTTTTCGATGTGTTTCTTTTTTGCTGCATTTCTCTTTTTTTGCGTTTTTTTGTTTTGCGATTGCATCTTATGATACCATTCACATTACTCGGTTGTTACCAACATTGAAATATCAGGGTGTTTCCTACGCCGCAAAGCAAGCAGCAGTTAGCAGGATAATCATGTGTGCTCTTTTTTTCTTTGTATGCGGACTGTTTCATTGCACATTCAAGCGCTGGGTTCTTATACTAGATGCACATGTTCATTATTTCCAATTGCCTATCTTCATTAAAAGCTTAATTGAATCACATTATACTAGACGTTCTCACGATATTACTCGCATCTCACGATATTACTCGTAACCGCCTGCATGGAATTATATAAGTCATGACTGTGACCAATTTCCCAATTGGGATCTTTGTCAGCGAGATGCTGGGTGGTGTGGTAGGAGTGGTTGTTGGATCTGGCTTCGACGGAATGGGATGGAGGGATGGAAAGGAGGGAAGGGCGCGTATGTGAATGGCGTAAAACACGACACACCAACAAGACCGTCGAGTCAGGATGGAGTTATTCGGTGCCTTCGTTGCTATTGTTGCAGCCAATTACAGAGTACACACGCCATACTTGAAGATCAGGCGTTGGCAGGTTGGGCTGGCGTTGTGAGTGCCATGCGTCATGCCGGAATACTTGCTTGGAGGTTTGCGACTGGCTTTCTTCTCTGCCCTGCCTTGTCTTGCCTTGCAGATCTATTTCCACACGTTCATGTACGTCAACCGCTTGCAGTAGCATGAATATCGAGCACGGACGGCTCTCTTCCTTGTCTAGTCATGCCCGTCAACGGCAGAGAAAGAAAAGCTTCCCCTTGGCGGAGGGAGCACGTGCTGCCCACCTAGTCATGGCTCGCCACGATCGACGCGGGCGCACGCGACTTGACTGGCTCGCAAAAAGCCAAATCCCAACTCACAAGTTTTGGCTCTACGGCTCGACTGCCCAACGAACGAACGAGTGGCGGCCAACCAGAATGCAAAATCCCCACCGGGGCAAAGCAGAAATGCGTCTCTTCCGGAACGGTCGCAGCGCGTGGTGCGTGTGTCCCGTCTTCCCTGGGGAGAATTTTTCACCTGCACACCTGATCAGTAGCCCTAGCCAATGGTTGATCCCCCCCTCCTTCTATTAGTTGGTTCGAAAAGTCCGCCGTCGAATGCGCCATTCTTCTCTCAATCTGCTGCTTGCTCCCTCGCCCCCTGCTCTGCTCTTGGCAGGCACGCACCCCAAAAGGCCCCAAATCCGGCGGGCTCTGGGCTCATCAGGATCAGTCGAGTTTGGCCCGGGGGGTGGTCGTGCGGCAATGGCATCAGGATTTTTTCTTCTTTCTCTTGCTCTGGGTGGGAGCGGGGCCGGGATGAGCTTGGTGATGACGATGTTTTCGCGCCGGAGGTAGAATAGCACATATTACATGCACACACACACAAAAGCAAAAAAAAAGAGAGACAAAACAGCGCAAGCCTGAGGTGTTTGTGAGAGGGGTCTGCAGACCAGGCGTGAGTTTTCCCTGTCCGGTTCGACTACGCTGCCGGCTGCCATGCAGTATTGATCGAAGCCTGTTAATAACGGCGATTTGATATTATTGCTACGTCCGGCTCACAGGCTGTCCGGAATCTGTTTGGCTGGGGCCCGTTCATGTCTCTATAATGTATCATTAGATCGAGCCTAGCCGTCATAGTCACTAGGTTAGGGGCATTAGTAACATAAGCGCTGTCAAGGCAGAGCAGACGCATGGATAGGGAATGGGGTCAAGATCAAGCAGCAAGCAGGTCTGGTTATGGCCTGCATGAGGATGAGAGCATGCAGGTGGCGATATGTTCCCAGGCGGCAAAGATGCTCCTCAACCCAGCACCGGCAGGTTGAGAAGCTACCCGAGCAGGGGAGCTGCCAATATCTCCATTCAGCCACAATAGACGGCCACATATCAATAGGCATATTGGTATGCGTTCTCTGGCTCTGATTTAATTAATTACTTGAATAAGGTGCTGGTGGGGGTGCCCTGGTGCTAAAATTACTGCCTCCCTGGCCCAGGTAGTGCGGCTGTAGGAGGGAGGGAGAGTGCACAGGCTGCTCTGCTACCCCGCTTCCTTTCGGTTTTTTTGCGCTGTCCAGAATCCGATGGACCGCAGAGCTCCGAACTGCTGTGGGTGAGCGAGCGCTGCGCGTGGTTGTGTAACCCGTTGTGGGAGCTGGAGCATGAGTGCATGAGATGGATGTGAGATGTCCACCAGCTTGAGAGTGTAGATGCGTAAGGCAGGAGGAGAGATGTATTGGGCGTCACCGAGGCCGCCCGCATCAATTTGATCCCACCTGGACGCAGATTCAGCGCTGATCTCGCTGCTGATCGCGGGTTCAGCAGCTCGGCCAGCAGCTGCGGTAGTGCCAGGCAGCCTGACCACTGGTGGCAGCTGTGCCTCTGCCGCCGCTGCATCTGCCTGGCGGGCGGTCTTACCTGACTAACCCCCACTGGCCTTTGCCTTTGACGGCATCCTCCACCCACGTAATTGCCCAGACCCTTTCGCTACAACCACCACTGCCTGCTGCCTTGCCTCACACTTCACCTCCCTCGACTCTGCTCTCCCATATCCGTGAATAGACACATTCTTTCCTCTCCCCTCGCCGACCGTGTCCGCCCTCCTCTGCCCCTCTCCGATTTACCCAATTTTCCGGTGGCCCAGCTACCGATCGACCTGCCACCATGGGTCAGACCCTCTCGGAGCCGGTTGTCGAAAAGGTTCGTCTGTTCCTTCGTGGCTCTATACCTCGTTTCCTCTGCCTTCGCCGACCCGGGACACGGGCGCAATTGTACCCCTCTGCTTCCCTTGCCTCTGTTTCCCCCACGACTTCCCGACCGCCGTGTTCTGTCGCTTCTGGTTTTGCAGCTTCTTCCTCGCTGTGTGCGTTTAGTGGGCTGTCCGAGACTCTATCTTCACCCCGCAAAGCTCGGCCGTCATTCGTCATGCCCCTCCCTTGGTCCAGACACCTATTTTATGCTTCTTCGCGGCGCGCGTGCGCTCACATAGGCACAACTCTACATTTCTGTGCGGTGAATTTTTTTTGCTAACATGTCGCTCGCTTTGCGCAACCACAGTCTTCCGAAAAGGGTGGGGATGACAGACTCATCTACGGCGTCTCAGCCATGCAGGGCTGGCGCATCAGCATGGAGGACGCCCACACTACCGTACTCGACCTCCTAGCCGCCAACGACGCTGATGGCACCAACAAGAACGGGGAGACAGGCGAGGACAGGCTCGCGTTTTTTGGCGTCTTCGACGGCCATGGAGGTGACAAGGTTGCGTTGTTTGCCGGCGCGAACATTCATAACATTGTCTCGAAGCAGGACACCTTCAAGTCTGGCGACTATGCACAGAGTCTCAAGGACGGTTTTCTAGCGACCGACAGAGCCATTCTCAACGGTATTCACCCATTTGCCCGCCGCAGAGCTCAAGGCTGCCTTCACCACCCCTGACCCGTTATATTGATGCGTTTTTGTGTGCTCTCCAGATCCCAAGTACGAGGAAGAAGTGTCCGGCTGCACAGCTTGTGTTGGTTTGATCGCTGGAAAGAAAATTTACCTGGTGCGTCTCAGCGACTTACGATGTGATGTGATATTCGAGGGAAATTCCGGCAAGAGCACAAGGTGTTGACTTTATCCCCTTCTCCCAATTATAGGCCAACGCCGGTGATTCCAGAGGTGTTTTGGGTATTAAAGGAAGAGCCAAGCCTCTGTCCCAAGATCACAAGCCACAACTCGAGAGTTAGTCCATCTTGCTGTATCTTCAGCTTGTATCGTGCCTTGCAAGCTGACCTGGTTTTCCCTCCTTTTTTTTTTATCCAGCCGAGAAGAACCGAATTACCGCCGCCGGTGGTTTCGTTGACTTTGGCCGTGTCAATGGCAACCTTGCCCTGTCGCGCGCCATTGGAGACTTTGAGTTCAAGAAGAGCGCAGAACTGTCCCCCGAAAATCAGATTGTCACAGCCTTCCCTGATGTCGACGTACACGATCTCACAGACGAAGACGAGTTCCTGGTCCTCGCATGCGACGGCAAGTTATCCCGCTTCATATTTTCGCGCCCGTAGGGCGGCAATCTAACTCACCGTGTATAGGTATCTGGGATTGCCAGTCCTCCCAAGCCGTAGTCGAATTTGTGCGGAGAGGAATTGCCGCCAAGCAGGATCTTGACAAGATCTGCGAGAACATGATGGATAACTGCCTTGCTTCAAACTCAGAGACTGGCGGTGTTGGCTGTGACAACATGACCATGATCATCATCGGCTTCCTCAACGGCAAGACTAAGGACGAGTGGTATGACGAGATTGCAAAGCGAGTAGCCAACGGAGACGGCCCTGCCGCTCCTCCGGAATACGGTACGATGATACCCCAGCTTTGATTATCATCATCTCTCTTCTTCTCTACCCTTTCATTTATCTCCCGGGTGGCTGCAAAGTCCACCATGATACGAAGTCACATTCTTGGGCACTCGGAATGTCAGTGTGGATACAAGCTAACGTACTTGCCTCTCCTCTCCAGCCGAGTTTCGAGGACCCGGAGTCCACCACAACTACGAAGATAGTGACAGCGGGTATGAGATGGACGCAGAAAACAAGGGCAAATCATTTGGCGTTGGTGGGTATAAAGGTCGTATTATTTTCCTCGGCGATGGGACTGAGGTTCTTACCGATTCAGATGACACCGGAATGTTCGATAACGCGGACGAAGACAAGGACCTTGAGAGCCAAGTCTCCAAGAGCTCCGCCTCATCGGAGGCCCCGAAGCCCGAGCCCTCTACGGCCGAACGAATAATTACAGCATCGACGACCAAGGAGGACGAGACGAAGGATGACGCAAAGACGAAAGAGGAGACGACCACCGAACAGAGTAAGAAGGACTAGGTGCTCGTTTCGCACAGGGAAGAGCCTGTTTGATTCATTGTTTCGGCGTTGTGCTCCGATACAGACATGCCACTGTTTGCCCCGGGGGGAGGATCTGACTACGTGGGGAGCCATAGTGATCTGCTTTTCTGCATGGTATATTTCATATCACACACATGCTGCTCGGAGTCACCTGGTGCTCATGCTGGATCGCAAGGGAGAACCCGCGTGAAGAACCTCTTCTCTTTCGCATTGTAATGCTGTTGGTCGTCCGATTTTACCACCCACTGTCCAAGACTCGTCTCTCTCTTCTCCCTTAGAATTGCTGCGTAACTCTAATCTCAGCCACGCTTTACACCTCTTTTTTTTTCTCTTTTACATCTACGTCTTCAATTCTCCTTGTCCTACACTTTTTGCCAATTTTTTCACAACCTCGGAGGGGGGTATCAAGAGATGCCGAGGACTTCAAAAGACAGCGAATCCGTCTGATGAATTACTGGAAATGGGGGCCTAGTCAGCAAATGGGACGGTAAACGAAGGTATAGCTACAGGATACGAAATAAACTCTGTCACGAACTAAAGAACGAAATGGGGAAAGTATGTGGCACTTGCTCTTACTGTAACATGATTGGAACATCCAACTGCTGTATTTTGGAGCACGTATAGCTCTTTTAAGTCTTGATAGTGAAACGAAATGGAAAACGAGCTCGTATCATGTTTGTTTATTTCTTCCCATGTTGAGATAGCCTGTATCGGGTACGAGAGTACGTATACATGGGACGCCATGAGTGAATTGGATTAGATTGGCAGGTGATTGTACATTCATATATCTATCTATTCATGGTTATGTTATACAGGTTATATGCTTCCCCCCCAGCTGTCTCCCCAGTAAATATACATCCAAGAACCTCCATCTATAAAACGTAATGCTACATTCATCACATGTCGTCAGATCAACATGGCTCCATCTTCCCCTTTCTGCTACTCCAGGTTGGATACATATTTCCAAAGTGTCTTTATACATTCAAGGGACCGCTTCGGCATCCGCTGGCTGTCCCTTTGATATCTCCCGTTTGCCCCTATCTCATCCGAACGTTGGTCCGAGGCGTCGCGACGACCCATTCCATGAACTGGGATGTGTTCAGGATCCGAGTCCCGACACGCGGTTTTGGGCTTGTGAAGAACTGGTCCTTCTTGCCCTTCTCGCTCCCGGAGACGGGTTTGCCACGTCGCGTCGTGGGTTTTTTGCCCAGTGATAGTAGTGCCGGCGCTGGCTCGTCCGCGACGGAGCAGGGCACGTCCCAGGCCTCGCAGAACCCAAAGTACTCCCAGACGCGGCGCGGGTCCGCGTTGCCGCTCTCCATCTCCAGGGTTGCCAGGATGCCGTCGCCGTCTTCCTCGGCGGAGGAGGAGGAGGGCTGCGGCGCGTCCTGGACGTCGTAGCCCCAGAACTCGTCGCCTCCCAGGGTCTGGATCCTGGCGACGAGGGCTCGTGCCTTCTCTGCGTCCTCGGGGGAGCTCATGGCCATGTCTTCGAACTCTTCGTGGTCGAGGATGGCGTCGGGGAAGAGTGCTGAGAGGGCCGGGGCGGGGTTGTCGTTGGAGAAGAAGTGTAGTCTCTCCGTGGCGCTGAGGGGGGCATGTTCCACGTCGCTGTGACCGAGTAGTTTGGTCCAGCTCTCGTCAGGGTCGGCCTTGGATAGAGTGTTCGGGCTTTCGTCGCTGCTATGCTGCAGGGATAGAGTCCGTCCTGGGGAGGAACCATCTGGATGTTTTAGTTTGAAGGTCACTGGCTTGTTCAGCCTCTGCTGGTACTTGAACTCGAAATTGTCGATTCGGAGCGCTTGGTCGATAGTTTCGGCCAGCGACTGGTCTGGGGCCAGATCACCGCACTCGGATAGGATGCACTGCACCATGTCATGCCATGGGTCGTGGCCCGAGAGGTTGCGCCGAAGAGCCATGTCCAGCAGCATCGCTCGGGTAAAAACCAGAGGGAGGCGAGTTCGCCAGAAGATTTTGTTTTTGTGGCGGCCTTGGATAAGACCAGCCAGCATCCAGCGTGTTTCGGAGGTTACGCTCTGGTCGAGAATCGCCTGGAACAAAATGGCGCCCAGAGTGCGCTGTCGCTTTGTCCACACAGCCATCCGGATCAGATGGTCGTAGGATTTCTCGTCAGGCATTACCCCACGTTTAGTCATTTGCTGTAGCGTCCAAATAGCAAGGTTCCAGTCTCGTGTGGCCCGGCAGTGCTCCAGAATATCATTAAAGAATCGAGCATCCAGGGGGCGCCCGTCATCTGGCTGTTGCTGAAGAAGGAGCTCCAGTTGGGATATCTGAAAGCCTTTTCCCATAACATGAAGGTATTCCTTCAGAATACAGCTCAGAGTCTCCTGGGTCCGCCAGTCACTGCCGTACGTGGTAGCTAGAATATCCATAAATTGCTGAATATTGACTTTTCCGGTCTTGAAAGCCAAGTGGGCTTCTCGCTGGGCAAATACACTGCCAATACCACGACGGGTTTCCGGGTCTTTGAACAGGCCTAGGTCGTACATTGCAGCAACTATCCGTTGCCGCTCGCTGTTTCTCTGGACGAGCCGTAGAAAGAGAAGCCAGGTGCGCGCATTAGGCTGGAAGAATCGATCCTTCATTCTGGCCAATAACGCATAAAAATGCCTATAATCCAGGTTGGAGGCGTAGCCTTCAAGCAAGATGTTGAAAAAATCAGTGTCCATGGGCAATCCCCGCTGTTCCGCGAAGGAGAGTAGACGATCAGCGTCAGCAATATAACCACCTCGTCGTGTAAGAAAAGCCATTGACAACTTCAACGTATGTACTGTGATAAATTGAGTCGCGCTAGGATCCGTTAAGACCTTCATGATCAGTCGTGCCTTGACGGCATTCCTATCAAGAGCACCATCACCGATCTGTTCGATGAGATCGCTATGAAGTTTAGGATCTAGTCTTGGCGGTAGATGACAATAAATGACATTTTCAATAAAAGAACTCAGTCCGTCCACCGACCAGTGGACGGGGATGAGCAAATGCTCAACTCTGCGCTCCGTTGTCGGCTTCGTTGGCTCTGTGTTCAGCCAGAGGGAGTCCTTTCCGTTGTCAGAATCCGTTTTCTCGACTTTGACTGATTTATCGGTCGTCGGCCATAGCTGCGTAGTTACGTAGTCTTGGGTAGTTACGTCTCCAAGCTTGAATACCTGAAATCCCTTCAACACCTGGATCAGCTCATCGGCTGCCTTTGCTAACGCTTTTCTAGGGCCTCTCAATATAACTCCCGTCGGATTGGCACGATCGCCAGATGCTCTGAGCGGAGATGTCTGCCCTGTAGCCAAGTCTACATATGTGAGGCGGCGCTTTTCGAAGTCAAACGATACATTTTCTGGGAGAACGAATCGCATGGTCGCTAAATCTCGATCCGACAGTTTCGAAGTCATGGCCTTTAGGAGCCCAAATATATGGCTCCAGTCCAGACGCTGAAGCAAGAAATGGCCCTCGGGAAGGTGCATAGCCCAGAGTTTGTCCTGTGCTACGAGTTTCTTGGAAGCCTTGTGAACACTGTCGAGGTTTGCTCTTCTCGACAAGGCTGAAGGATAATTCAATGCTTGTGGCCTAAACGGAGACGCAAACTTCTCTTGTATAAGCGGATCGTCACTCTTTATCGATTGATATATCTCGCGGAAGACGGCATTTTTCAGGGTCGGGTCGTTCGTGGGTATAGTCTTGGTTGCAATTGCGTTGCGAACCTCGGAAAGTATTGATTCCGGCGTGGTGTCTTCGACGAGGCTTGTCGTGAGGCTCGCTGTTCCCTCTTCAACTCCATCTCCGCCATCTTCGGGTTCTTGGTCGCTCATCCGCCACACAGGTTCGGTCGCCGAGGCCGCCTGAGCGCCATTGATGCTCCCACCATCGCTTGCCGGTTTCGCTCTGGGAGCCTCTTGGCTCGGGCTCACCCTGCCCCCCTTAACAAACGTCCCATTAGCCGACCTTAAGGACTCAAAGCTGAAACCGAAGCGTGCAGTTTCGCTCCTTGACGCTGCATCAGACGAATATCTCAGAAGCAACTCGGGCCGAAGAGGATGTATCGATGCTCGCAAGGAGAGAGGACTGGAAGGCAATTGGGACAGTCCGGCAGGGTGGACAAGGCGCAAACGAGCCCTGCATATGGAACTGATGCCCAAGGACATTGGTCATGAGGTAACCATGGTAGTCAGGGCAGAATAAAGTACGGCCGACGGGTTGAAGGCGAAGTCGTTCCGCTGATAAGCGCATGGAAATCATATCAGTACCCCGAAAATTATCAACTTTTTCAGCGTCACGTGCCGCATCTCCGGTCTTCACATTACAACTTAGTACTTCGTACACTACGTTTCACATTAAAAAATATAGGCAGAATTTCTTTTTTTGTAGTAATAATACGATAAATATGCTTTATTTCCCTATGCCCACGAATAAGTATAATATGCGATGTTGTGTAGGTGCTCTGTGCGTCCAATTTTCCCCGTTTGTCCATCCCACTGGTACTGTCTGTTGCGCCCATTATCAAACCCCAGTCAACGCTTAACCCAAGAATTGTAAAAAATGTTTTAAACAAACAAAGAAACTTTATGATTCCACCCCGTTGTCATGACGCTCTTGGCCCTGGCAAATTATCACTGTTCGGGTGTGAGGGACCACTGTTGTCCAATCCCTCCCAGCCATTTTCCCAGCCTTTCTCTTCGTCGACGGCATGTTTGGACTTACCCTCAACTGCCATATGTTTAACATCGCTCCAGTAAGCAAGCTTCCGTACCTCTTCGTCTGCATGCTTAAGCGCAGATTTAACGGCCTCGTGGCGCTCCTTAACCTCCACGCTGTCCTTCGTTTCGAGCTCCTTCGTCGATTCATCATATATCTGGATGATATGGCTCAAAAGAAGTCTCCGTGAAGCCTGGAACACGAAGAGAGCCATGATCTCGTGAATTTTGTCGGGGAGATCACCAAGATCCGTAGCGTTCCTCAAATAATTTTTCGTTGCATCGAGCTTTTCGCGGTCGATCCTTGATTGGTGCAGTCTATGGATAAGGGTGTCCAAATGCTCAATGTCCGGTATTGTCCGTCCCGATTCCCGTGATGATACACCACTAAGGTTCGTCCTACTAGGGCTCCGGCTGCTGGACAAGCTCCTCTGAGATGGGCAAGTTGCTCTATCCGATGCTGGTCGCACAGTGAAATACTCCCCATTCTCCATGTAAGGGTCCGCGGAAATATCTTCGGGTCTCTTCTTGGCTCGCTTCCGGGTCCATGCCCGTCGTCGCACGAACGAATTGTACCATCGTGGACCGTGCCATGAGAATCTCTTGCTATACGCAAAGGAGTATTCCCAACCGCCTTCATCCGTCCCATCTTGGATGTTGAGATGCCATTCTGACCATACCCATTCCCAAGAGGGGTCGGGAACCTGTGCATTTTGGATATTGGTTGGCGAAGGCTTATGGTACATGTTTGCTGGTATGGGTTAGATGTGGCCATTCTACACAGCAGGGTGTTTGCACTCACTCCACGCTGAGGCATCAATACCTCCAAGGGCAGCGGCTGAGAACAGAGGTCGGCCACATAAGAAACCGCCTCGCTCATTCTCGTACAGGATGTCAATAAAAGTTTCTCGTTTAACTTTTGGTTTCCTGGGTACAACGTTCTCGCCCCCATGGAATTCACCTGGCGTCGGCGCTGCCGAGTGTGTCAGACAACAAATCAGAATACCGCGGAATCACGATAAGATTGGTACCTTGAACTTCAATTGAGGGCCTTACGGCATTTTGAGGCAGCTCCTGCTCAGCCTGCAGCTCCTCCACGGGGCGCTCTTCGACCCGAGGGCTATCGGAGTTGTCGCCCTGCGTCGCGCCATCTTCAGAGCGCAAAAGTCGCGATTCCGTCGACGCTCTCTCAATTGCGGGTTCCCCGGCAGACAATCCAGCAGGGGAATCGGTCTTGTTATCGTGGTCAACAAGGTCAATGTTGTGGTCAAAGTCGCCAGGCTTCAATCCCGCCGCACGCCGCGAACTCGTCACTCGAAGCATTTCGTGAGCCGGGATATGACCATGACGTTTTCAGCGACCGAAGTAGCTCTAAAGTGGGGCTTCGATCGACTATGATTCAGGCAGAGGTATGTTATGAAGCTTGCATCGTGAGCATGAGTTTCACATGAAAGAGGAGGAAAGTTGCTGTTAGCAATGCAACAAACGGGGAGATCTGAGACGCTGGGATGGGAGAAAAAATAGCTGTCGCAAGACTGTCCTCCTTCCGTCTGGTCGTGGATCCCCTTTCACGGACCAAGATCACTAGAGCAGCCGCCAGGGGTGACCAAACTCGCGAACCTCCTCCACTCCACTGCGAATTTGGTGTTTTCGGTTATTATTAGCGTGCTTCTAGGACCGAGCAATCATTCTCAATGAGCAACTTGATGATGTCATGATCGCTAGCAGCTGCTAAAGTTCCAAGATTTGCCCGGCACATCATGGCGGAATGATTATCCGGGAGCCGAGCCAAGCACTGCTAGTACCTTTCCAAGGCACGACAGAACTCCATCTCAGCCACCTACCTCACTAAGGGGTACGTACCCTAGACATCGCGATAGCATCACTGTCCTTCGATTGAACTCTTCGAATCCGAACATGATTACGATACTAATAGTTTGTATATTTTAGAGCCATAGAAATGTATCCCGCTTCCTTCCCGTCTATTCTAGCTCATTACTTTCTCAGCTATACGGCATTTCTCTCATGTTTGCTCGTCCATCTTCGCGGTCGCAAGCTCACTAGCTCTCGCCTCCTCTTCGGCTTCAATCGCAGTTGTTTTGTTATATCTGCGAGCGAAGTAGGATAGAAGCCCGGCCCACACTGCTAATCCGATACAAGTGGCAATCATAGCCCACATTCCTCGCTAGATTGGACCTCGGTTAGCTCACATCACGAAAGTTTGAAGAGGGGGTTTGAAGTACGAAAGGACTACTAACGTTAAACCAAGGAGCCATTGAGGCACCGTAAAAGAGAATACTCCACCAGGCGTTCACAGCATTGCTGCCCACGTTCATGCCGGCAAGCACGACACCTCTGAAAGCGGCCTCGTCAAATCGCATAACGTCGTTGCACCAGGCAAAGAAGGTTGCTTGGCAGGCATACACAGAGCCTGCCCAGTAATACGCAGCGAACGTCACGGTTGTCGAGGCGTCGCTTGTTGGGTTTCGGGCCGCCACGAGCACCATGATCGAGGTGGCTATGCCTGTGACGCCGATGAAGTAGGCGACAAGATATCTCTTGCCCCCCAGGAAATCGGTCAGCGCCGCCCAGAATAGAGTTGAGACGATGCCGACGGCGGGAACACCCGTCGGGTAATTATTCAGCTGAGCAACCGTATACTTCTTGGTCGGGTGGCTCTGCATGTAGAGGTTGAGTAGGGCATTGGTGCTGAAGGATTCCGTCTCTCCGGCGAAGATCCAGAGAACAACAAAACCCCACCACTTCCACGAGCCGAGGACCTTCTTAGCAAACGAGAAGGTCAAGGGCCTTTGCTCAGGAGGCGGCGGCACTCGCTCGCGAGCAAGCTGTTTTTCTTCCTCGCTGAGGTAGAAAGCCGTTGTCGTGAATGGTGTATCTGGGAAAAGGAAGAAGCCATAGATGGCGACGGGGATTGTGAGAAGACCGTCGATGATGAATAGCCAGCGCCATCCAGCGAGCCCATGGAGGCCATTCATACTAGAATGGATTCCGGTTTGGATAAACCCTCCGATAAAGGTCCCTGCGAGACCAGAAGCGGTGAAAATACCACTTCGCTTTCCCAGCTCACGCTCCGTATACCATGATCCTAGGATATAATGAGTGCCTACGAATGTAGAGGCCTCACAGATACCCTGAAAGAATCGAATCGCCATAATAGATTGTGGAGACTTTACTGAAGCAGTAACCATTGTCAACCCACCCCAGAGGACCATCATTAGTGGAAACCAGATCCTTGGCTTGATATACTGGAGGGATAAGTTGGATGGAATTTGTCCAATGACATATCTGCACATCAATTATTAAATTTCATGGACATAGAACATTGGTTTGTGCGCAATGAACCTTACCCGACAGTGAAGCATGTGAAGATTTGGTTGAGCTGGTCTCCTTGGAAGTTGAGATCGGTCTTCATGCCTGAAACATAAGCATTGTTGATGTTGCTGCGATCAAGCTACGCCATCACTTTGTCAGTCTTTGGTAGTTGTCCAGCAAAATCAGGAGCAGCATACATAGTTGACAAAGTAGCTCAAACAGCAAAATGTGAGGATAAAGAAGTCAATCTTTTGCACGAGGACACGCTCTCCGGGCTTATAGTCCACGTGGAAGTAGTTTCGAAGTTTGTCCATCATGACGATAGGGCCTGTAATCGCCCTTGGGGAAGGGGACTGGATAGGTGGTTACTTGTTGGCAGCGCAATGACTTGAGATCCTAGATGAAATCTGAAGCTCTGCTGGGATGATGGTTTGGGAGGGGGGTGGTTGACGGATATTTATTCTTTTCTCACGGGCAATAGGCTTGCCCGATAAAGGCAGTGGGAGTAGAGTATTGAGTCAGATGTACGCCGAGAAACCCATAACTTAGTCCAACCTCCAAGTCGGTGTCATGGCGGAGTGAGAGTGAGGTCGGGGGTTTCCGTGGCAAACCGATAAAACTGACCGCTGGGATGTCACGAAAATGAACTAATCAAGATGCTTGTTAATCCAGGAATGAGGCTAGCTGCCTAGTTCACATCTATCTACCAGGTTTATCTGCCCTCCGCAAGACACGCACGAACTGAGACAGGGACAAGGCCGATCCTGGAAAAGGTCGTCCGTAAGTTGAGAATGTGACCTTATCTTGGGTGGAGAAGTCGTTGTATCATTTGTGGGGAAGTAGATAAGGATAACATCATGATTTAATATGCTGGCCGAGTTGGAAACCCCATCAACTATCATCAGTCCCGGAACCCAGAATCAGGAGCGACTGACGATGTATCATCGGCTAGGGTAGACCGGCCGGCCGGGGTGCATGATGGTGCCGCAGCTACTTGCACTTTACTAGGCTTCCTGAGGGATGGTGTTGCGATTCGATCACCAACATGGCAGTACTAACCGACCAGGCGGGTATATGAGCTTGTTCCCCCGCACTCGGATTATCAGAACTAGCATGGAAGCATTAGATGACCTTCCGCAGATGATTTGATTCCCTTCTGTTTTGGGAAACGCCCGCCAAAGGGCACCGGGGTCCTTCGTGGGAAACCATCCCTTGAAATGAAGCCCGCATGAACACCAACACCCTTTATCAAGAAACCCTCGTGAGATGCTCTGCGACCGAGATCGGGCCAGATATACATGTAAGGCCGGGGTTATCAGACGCGGACTCGATTCCTCCGGTCGCTTACCTCGTATCCTCGAAACATCATTCAAGCCTCCTCTAGGCCAAATAATAGCCAGATTTCACGTCCTTGCCTTTCGGAAGATACGGCTAGCCTGATAAGACCATTACCGATGCCTCTTTGATGATACCAATGACATTATTGCCCTGCTATGACTCCAATGAACATCATGTAATGATTGACATCTACCATTAGGATCAGTGCCAACATTTCCGTCCCAAATCCCCACCATACGAGGTTTCTTCTTTGTTTCTGGCATATATTCATGTGTAAACATACATTCAGCCTGTTCAATCACATTGAGCCTCGGCTCCTTAGTGCAAAACCCCAGAAATGCTGTCCAAGAAAGGAAATGGACCAGATGAGTGTTTCCCCTGATGATGCCAAGTTTCGGATCTTCGGCATGCAGTAAATAATCTCTTGACTCGCCGACACAACAAGCAATGAGTGAGCTTAATGTATAGTCTAATCAGCAGTCATTCTCTTAGGAGAAGCAGGCTGAGGCTAGTTGCAATTACTATCAGGCAAGCGTTATCATTTGCATGATCGTGTGCTCCATGTCACCACAAGAAGGGGATAAGCAGGCGGGCGGTAATACAAAACTAGGCATATCAAATCCTAGCGCATTTCATTAAAGATCCGAGTTCAACTTACCTTACCTCCAGCAGAAGAACAGTTACCGCATTAGGCAACGTATCTAATGGCTGGATTGAGGGGAACATCGTTAGCGGGACTCTTCAACCGATATGTGTGTGGGGTGGCCTCGTGATATGCTCCTGCCGATACTATTCATCAAACAATGCGTGCTGAGATGTTAGTGGACACAGCCAACATGTATTGGAGCCACAGTCAGGCGTGTTGATGCCATCTTCTGCATATGCGCACCTGCCGTGATCGGCATGTCGAATAAAAGAAACGTGTGTTGCTCTTGTATTCGCTCAAACTTCCAAAAGCACTTCACTCTCTCTATTTCATAGCTGCTTTCATAGCTGCCTTTTGCATCAGTATACTTTTCTAGCCAGTTCTGTAAATCAGGCCTTCTCATTCTCACATACCATGTCACCATCTAAAGTTTCCGAGCTTCATTGGGAGGAAGTCGGTGCCAAGAAACGTGCGTCTCTCGAGGCCAGTCTTCCAAAAGAATGGCGTGTACCCTCAGATCTTCTGCCTCACGAGTCACAGACAGACGTGACAAATTGGGCAGAAACCTCTGGCTGGTTCACCCCTGAGGAACTGAGCATTACCAACTCCACAGCCGCAGAGCTTCTACCCAAGCTTGCGTCTGGTGAATTGAAATCCCTCGATGTCACCAAAGCATTTTGCAAGCGTGCGGTCGCTGCTCACCAGCTGGTTAGTACTATACACGGAATACCAAATCCCCAAGCTCCCATTCTCGGTCAGCCTTCTCGACCCTCTCGAAATGCTGATCTTGATTCCAGACCAACTGCCTTTCAGAGACTTGCTTTGAACGTGCTCTGGCAACTGCGCGAGCTCGCGATGAAGAGCTCGCCCGAACAGGAAAGCCTGTGGGCTCCCTGCACGGCCTCCCCATCTCTCTCAAGGACAACTTCAAGCTGAAGGGTCTTGATTCCACTGTTGGCATTGCTGCACATATTGATGACCCGGCAGACTCCGACTCCCCGCTTGCTCAGTTGCTGGAGGCTGCTGGCGCTGTATTTTATGTGAAAACCAATGTGCCCACCGCCATGATGATCGCAGAGACGGTCAACAACGTATTCGGAAGAACCGTGAACCCCAGAAACAGATTGACAACCAGCGGTGGGAGCTCTGGCGGCGAGTCATCGCTCATCGTGCTCAGGGGAAGCCCCCTGGGTGTGGGATCCGACATTGGTACAATCCCCTTTTTCTTTTCCCACACATTAAAAAACAAGCTGCTGACTCTATGATTTATCCAGGCGGGTCTCTCCGTATTCCAGCTGCTTGTGCTGGTTTGTTCACTATCCGACCTTCAGCTGGCCGTTTCCCAGTGAGAAACACTAGATCCGGCATGCCGGGTCAGGAGGCAGTTCTCTCTGTTAATGGTCCATTGGCCAACACCATTGAGGACATTGAGCTGTATAGTAAGAGCCTTATCGGCGAAAAGCCATGGCTTCGTGATCCTAAATGCGTTCCCATTCCATGGAGGGAGGTAGAGCTGCCCAAGAAACTGAAGATTGGCGTTATGTGGCACGACGGTATGGTGCGCCCGACACCTCCCGTCGCCCGCGCGCTGCGAGAAGTCAAGGCCAAGCTCGAGGCTGCAGGACACGAGTTTGTTGAGTGGGATCCCGTTGATCAAAAAGAAGGAAATGAACTTCTAGGTCGAATGTTCGTGGCCGACGGTGGCTTGACCATCAAGAAGGAGCTCGACCGCACTGGTGAGCCTTGGAGGCCTGAGATGGAGGCCTACTCTGTTGCCAGGGACCTCACCACAAGCGAGATGTGGAAGCTCCATCTTGAGCGCTCAGAGTTTCAAGGCCGGTATCTGGACCGTTGGACCAAGGCTGGTATTGACGCACTCTTGGTTCCTACCATCCCATTCAACACAGTTCGACACGGAGCCTTCAAACATGGTTAGTCCTCTTTCTTTACACTGACACTGTATTGTTTTTAATCAAACTAATCATGATAATAGTTGGTTATACTGGAGTATATAACGTACTGGACTATTCCGCGACATCTTTCGTCACCGGCCTCACCGTCGACAAGTCCATTGACCAACTGAACGGATACGAGCCACTTGGTGATATTTGCAAGGCAATAAATGATGACTGTGAGTTTTAATTCCGGCCCAGCGTCATATTCCTTTCAGATACTGACAAAAGTTTCAACAGATGATGCTGAGTTAATGCATGGGTTGCCTATCAGCCTGCAACTCGTAGCACAGAGGCTAGAGGAGGAAAAGGTGATTGCAATGACCAAGCATGTCCTTGAAGTCATTGCGTAAATCAAATGGAGGGCGCACGTAAACTCCATAGAATTAGAATAAACATATTGAATAAACAAATGAGTCTAGGAACAAAATGGTAAAAAGAGGAGTTAACGACCTGAATATCAATCGGCCAAAAGATAATGTTCTCCGGTACTGGGAATCGAACCCAGGGCTGCTCGGTGAGAGCGAGCGATGTTAGCCACTACACCATACCGGATCTTCATGTGAGGGACGGTGTTATTCCGCTATATACATACTTTCTAAACTCAAAGAGCCTACCACACCTCCAAAACGCATCTAACAAGTTCCGAATGAGGTTTTGGGTGTACAGCTGGCTGTTTCTTTGATTATATACATTTCATATTCACTGTAGCTCTTAGATGGGCCTCATAGACTCTGATAGTATCCAGAATTGCCAGCCGTTGACGAGATACAGGAGATATTGGATCACTATGGTGATAGCCATCTCTCCTCTCCTCCTAGCACGGAACAAAGCGCCAAAGAAGCTTATGAGCCTTTTTAATGGATCACATCATATATTTTTACCTTCATTGGGCATTGAAGCATGAATTTGTTGGTTGAGGAGTTCAACGTGTGAACTGTAACGCCACTGGTTCTGATACAGGGTAGGCGCTAACGGGAAGACTTGACCTGTCGCGTTTCGGGGCCCAAAGACGCGGTCCAACCTGATCAAAAAATTTACGCAAATTGAAAGCAGCGCATAGAACAAGATGTTGATTGGCATATGTGGAAGTAAGTGTTCAAATCGAAGCCGTGCTTTGAATAAGTATGAGCTGACAAGTTTATCAGGTATCTGCGCTGGTAAGGAGACCGTGGCTCAGTACCTAGTTGAGCACCATGGCTTCAAACACCTATACTTGCAACACGGTGATAGTCATGGCCCCGTAGATGGTGTCTCTGCTTCATCCATATCAGAGCAAAGTGAGGTCTCTCAATCTACCAGCGCGATCGCTGCTAGTTCATTGGGCCAGAGTACCTTGACGAGCAAAGCCGAGAATGGGACAGCCCTTGCTCTCAGGCCTCAAAGCCAGCCACACACCTTTGCCTCGCCACAAGCCATGCTTGATTTCGTGACGACAAGATGGCGATCTCGTTTCGTGACGACGGATATTTCCACTGAGACAATTCTTGATGTCTTTGCCCGACGGCCTTTCTTTCTACTCCTATCCATTGACGCGCCATTGACGATTCGATGGCATCGGTACCAGCAGCGTTCAAGACACTCCGGGAATGCCGAAATCAGCTTGGAGGACTTTGTAACGTTGAACGATGGAAATCTGTACGACCCGCACAACAGCACCCAGTCCCTTATGTCACGAGCAACCGTGCGGCTGCTCAACACCTCTTCATCATTGGCACACCTCTACGCCACGCTCGGCAAGCTCGACATCACGAATTCGGATCGTCTTCGCCCTGGATGGGACACATACTTCATGGAACTCGCTTCCCTTGCTGCGCAGCGTTCCAACTGCATGAAGCGCCGTGTCGGGTGCGTTCTGGTGGGCAAGGAACGCAGGGTCATCAGCACCGGCTACAACGGGACGCCCCGTGGGCTCCGCAACTGTGCCGAGGGAGGCTGCCCTCGATGCAATGATGGGAACAGCTCTGGAGTCGGCCTATCCACTTGCCTGTGTCTCCACGCGGAGGAGAACGCGCTTCTAGAAGCCGGGCGGGAGAGGATCAGGGAGGGCGCCGTGTTATATTGCGACACCTGCCCTTGTCTGACATGCAGCATCAAGGTGTGCCAGGTCGGTATTAGCGAGGTCGTGTATGCGCATGGGTACAGCATGGACACGGAGACGGCTGAGATCTTCAGACAGGCGGGTGTGAAGCTAAGGCAGTTCATTCCTGTGAGTGCTTATCAGATCCGAGCCTGAGTTGCTTTTGTTTTCTGCTTTCTGACAAAAGTTCATCTAGCCTCCGAACGGACTGATCCATTTAGAGAAGATGGACCTCTATTAATTTCTAGTGATCATCTTCCAGGGAGCAATGAGGGTACCTGGCTGGAGGCTCGGAATTCTGGGCATATTTTCGCACGATTTGCAATCATATATTCCTTTTAGATACGCTACACGACATTAATGGATGGGGTGCAACCTCTTCTGCGTGTGAGACAATGTTTCTCGTGTTAAGCGACCAATGAGGGTGAATCTAAGGTTACAAAAGTGTTAGATTGGTTAAACGAGTGGGTAATCTAAGTACATATGGGAATTATTCGCTATTATTGGGCTGGGTATTGGCTGGTGTGCGAAGGCAGGAGCGACTGGTAAAGGGATGGTTTTGCATTTGTGGCTTGCAACTCAAAATTCCTGAACAACGACGCGACTGCTTGAGACATGTCTCACTCTTTATTTGACACCCAATCTCATGGGAGATCCCCTTGAAGCTTCTCCAACATCGAATTTTGCCCTTTTCCTATCCACAATCCGGTCCAAGGCATAGGGCTCCATTATCAGATCTCGTTTTCAGGGCAGAGGCAGATCTGGCTCCGCATATCTCAATGTGTCAACGGCCAGCTTCTAAGATTAGCGACCAAACTTTATCCAATACGGCGAAAATGGAGAGAAGGGAGACTGGCAAGAAGAACGAGGTAACGGAGAATATGATGCTAGCCTTGGACGATACTAGAGGGCCGTCAACCCTCGAGCATTCCATCACAGTACGCCAGGCAGTACATCACTATCGATGGGCAATTTTCTGGTGCTTGGCAGTGAGGTCTGAATCTTGGCCTGGGCTTCATGACTCGATGGGAAAATGCTAATTGATTCCTAGCATGACCGTTGTAATGGAGGGATACGATACTATCTTGTTGGGGAATCTGTGGGCGTACCCAACCTTTCAGCAGAAGTATGGGGAGTATGTGGGCGTGAGCTCCCAGACAAGATCGGGATACCAACTCACGCCAGCATGGCAAGCTGGTCTGGGAAACGCTGCTGGAGTCGGCGCGTTTTTCGGTGAGTGCCTAGAGCCTTTTGCGAAGCTTCAAGGGATATTCGGTTAGAGCTAAGAGCTCACAATCACAGGTGCCCTCTTGAATGGGATTCTAGTCAATCGTTTTGGTCAAAGAAACACCATTGTTGGTGCTCTCATGGCTCTATCATGCTTCATCTTCATTGTCTTCTTTTCCCAAAATCCACAAGTCCTTCTTACAGGGCAGCTTCTCTGTGGCATTCCATGGGGTGTTTTTGCAACTTCAGCACCCGCTTATGCTAGCGAGATGCTACCGATGGTACTGAGAGTGTACTTCACTAGTTGGACCAACATGTGCTTCATCATTGGCCAGTTTATTGCTTCCGGTGTACTCCGAGTGTGTTTAAGCAGAGATGATGAGTGGGGGTTCAGAATTCCTTTCGCCCTTCAGGTGAGCTTTTTCTCCCTCTCGACGATAAGCCGGATTTTGCAAACTAATTGGCAGCAAGTGGTTCTGGCCTGCTTGGCTTATCCCAATTCTTATGTTCGCACCGGAATCACCATGGCATCTAGTGCGCCAAGGGAAGCTCGAAGAAGCAGAGCGTTCCATAAACCGTCTGCAAGCCTCAGACTGCCCCATCAGCCATAAACAAGCTCTCATGGCAATTGTTGAAACCAACAAAGCAGAGAAAGATCTAGCAGTTGGTACTTCATACAAGCACTGCTTTAAGGGCGTTGAGCTTCGCCGGACAGAGATTGCCTGTATGTGTTTCATGGGTCAAGTCTTATGCGGCTTGCCCATAGCCTACAACGCAACTTACTTCTACGAGCAAATAGGTCTGCCTGCAAACATCACATATAGTCTCAACATTGGAGGGTATGGTCTTGCCCTCTTCTCGGCGTTTTGCAGCTGGTTCTTCCTCTTGCCTCGTGTGGGGAGGCGAAAGATATACCTCGGCGGCGCATTCACCATGTCCCTCCTCCTCTATCTAATCGCCATCCTGACCAGTTGGAAACAACACCATGGCGTAACTGAGGCGCAGGCGTATCTCACCATAGTCTGGAAAGCTGCCTTCCAGCTCTCAGCGGGGCAGCTCGGCTGGGCTATCCCAGCAGAGGTCGGAAGCACGAGGCTGCGACAGAAGACGATTGTTTTGGCACGAAACTCCTACTACCTGGTCCACACAGTAGGCACTTCCGTGCAGCCCTATTTTCTCAATCCTCGGGCGCTAGATCTCGGGGCACGTGCTGGTGAGTGAAGCCCCCCCTGTATCGAGTCACGGAGGAGGATTGTTGAGCGAGGGATTATTGACTTGAAACAGCGTTTGTTTGGGCCACCACGGCGCTCCTGTTCTTCACTTGGGCCTTCTTCCGTCTCCCTGAAACAAAGAACTTGACTTATGAGGAACTGAACCGACTGTTTGCGCAACGTGTTCCGTCAAGGGAGTTTGCCAAAACAGAAGCTGGCATAGTCAAACATCGGGAGTCTGAGCGCCTAGCTTCCGTCGCGACAGGGGCTAGTCAAAACTCTGCAGTTTGATGGTGTTGAGCGAGACTCTGGGTTGGGGTTAAGCCGCGGTGTAATTGTTCCGGTGCATGTATGTCATCTTCCATGTCCATATGGTATGTGTTAGGGGGCATGTCTTCGGGGGAATGTGTTAGACCCCTCGTCGGAGAATTTCCTAGTCCTTATCATCCCCATCAATTATATAAATGCGATCTTACAAGAAAACATTCTTTGGGGGTCTTGAAACTGCGTAAACCTGGCTCGAGTCTACTTCGAGTCACAATGTAGGTTCTGGAACACTGGGAGATGATGCGGTACAGACGTCTCATCTCTTATTCCTATGCATCCTTCCCTTCAAATCCCACGAGGCACTAAGCTTGGACCATGACACGGGATCTCAGGGCATCTCCCGACTCCCGAGCTTCTTTGGCGCCGATATGCCAGAGCTCGCTCTGGAGCCGCATTGATACCGACCGGGAACCATGGAATGAAGCCTACATGAACCATCCAGACAGTGCACACTACTAGGTCATCACCCTTGCCCGAATGCCCACGAACAACACTAGACAACTGGACC